AACACAAAAACGAGGGCGGTGCTGCAGCGGGAACACTATTTTGGAAGAACCAGAAACGACAGGATTGAAGCAACGCCTCGGCACAACAAAATAGCGAAGTCCTTTCTGCAAAAAAGGAGATACGCGGCGGAGAGGACGGGACACTCTCTGGACAGAGTCAGGGGAGAGAGGAGATTCGTATTAGTATTGTATTGTTGTGGCGGAGCAGCAGGAGCAGGAGGAGGAGGAGCAGGAGGAGGAGGAGGAGAAGGCAAGCCGCCTCTTGGGGCCCCCGTGGGACACTCCTGGGGCGCTTTTGGGCCCTCTTAGGGCCTTAGGGCCCTGTGATGGAGCCCTGGAGATTCTTTTGGGGCCATCTTAGAGGCCATTGATCAAATGAGAGAGGGGTCCTCGATTTCCCTCCGCAGCTTGGATCATCAAAATCGCATCCTGGAGCGCTCTTGGCTCGCTCTTGGGCGCTCTTGGGCCGTTCTGGGGGCCTCTCGGGGCCCTATTGGGTCTCTCTGGGGACATCTTGGGGCAATCTTGAGACTTCACAAGCGCATCGGACGCGAAAAGGCGAGATGCCACACATTAGTTGTTTCCTGATGTGTCTGAAGGATTTGAGCCTCTTGGCGGGAGGCGGTCCCTACAGTAGGCTCCGATAGCACTTGACACCGTGGCCCTTGTCGGGCCTCTTGGAGGCATGTCGGAAGCTATCTTGAACCATCTATTCGGCTGACTTGAGCTGCCGTGGGGGCCATCATGTTTGGAGCATCGGAGAGCCATCAGGGGCCATCTTGGACGATCTAACCCCTCCGTCCCTCCCTCCCCCCCCCTCCCAGGCCCAGGGAGGGGGGGGGAGGAGATAAACTTCTCCCACGGAAAGAGGGTTTTTGGAAGCGGGAAGCAATCGCAATACCACCTTAGCCCAAAAGGCTCGTGGGATCACGTAGAATTCTGTTTTCGGAAGCGCGAGCCTGCCATAAGTCACCATGGACGCTGGCTTGGGAGCGTGAATCACGCGTAGCAGCGGAATCTGGCCGCGAGGGCGCGAACTGATCGTATTTGTTCAAAAGACTCCGACATCGGCAGCGCGAATTTGGTGTAACTTTTGAGGAACATGGCACTGTGCGCGAACCTCATTGTGAGAGGCCTTACGGCTCGTATCGCCGACCTAGAAAGACGACAACCACCACCACGACGACGACGACCACGACGACAACGACAACGACGAGCTGGTGACCTTGTCACAAGCTCGGGACACGGGGCGGGCGGTTGAGGGAGGAGGAGGCGGAGGAGGATGCGGACGAGGAGGAGGAGGAGGAGGGGGAGGAGGAGGAGGAGGAGGAGGAGGAGGAGGAGGAGGAGGAGGAGGAGGAGGGGAGGAGGAGGAGGAGGAGGAGGAGGAGGAGTAGAAATAGGAAGAGGAGGAGCAGGAGAAAGAGGGAAAGAGGAGAGAAGGAGGATACAGATGAGAAAGATGAGATGAGAATATGAAAAGAGAAAGAGGAGAACGAGGAGGAGGAGGAGGAGGAGGCGAGGAGGCGGAGGAGGCGGTGGGGCCCTGCGAGCCGGGGGGGCGGGCGTCTGGGAGGCGATGAGGCCAGAGCTGGGGCCCTGCCCGGGCCAGGGCCGGTGCCGCGGCCCGGGCCGCGGCCGAGGCCGCGGGGCCGGGAGGCCAGGGCCATGGGCCCCAGGGCCGGTGCCAGCGCGGACGGGAGGCCACCGTGGCTGGGGGTAGGGGGGCCAGGGCTGGCGCCGGAGTTGGGAGCTGGGGCCAGGGGCGGGGGCAGGGGGCTGCCTGGGGCCGGGGCCTGCGCTCCCCTGTCGGCAGGGAGGCCATCCAGGGCAGGGGAGGGATCTTCGAGGAGGCGTCGGGCCACCAGGGGTGCAGTAATCTGACCTGGCCCGGGACACCCCTCCTCCTCCTCCTCCTCCTCCTCCTCCTCCTCCTCCTCCTCCTCCTTCTCTTCCTTCTCCTCGTCTCCCTCCTCCTCCTCCTCCTCCTTCTCCTCCTTCTCTCCTCCTCCCTTTCCTCCTCCTCCTCCTCCTCCTCCTCCTCCTCCTCTCCTCCCCCTCCTCCTCCTCCTCCTCCTCTCCTCCTCCTCCTCCTCCTCCTCCCTCCTCCTCCTCCTCCTCCTCCTCCTTATCCTCCTCCTCCCCCTACCCGTCCCCTACCCCCCTTCCACCCGTCAAAAAGGGGAGGGGGTCGACTCGACTACCACGTTTCTTTTACGACGTCTCTTTTGGGATTGTCTTGGGGCTGGCGACGACGAAAGCGACGACAGCGTCTCACACACGCCGACTGGGTCGGCAGATTTTCCCGTGTCGCGTGGCCCCCCTGGGGAATTCTGAGAAGTCCGGGAGGCCGTGGCAACCGATGAGCTCAGGATTGGAATCTGCTGCTGGGTCCCCTGCAGTCTGGTTGCCCCTTAAGGGGGCCGACCGATTTGCAGAGCCGGCTTCGAACGCGAAGAGGAGGGATGGTTCAAGAACAAGTGATCCCCTGAAGTAGGCACCTTCGGGGGAGGATAATTACGGTAGGTTCATATCGTGTGGACGCGGTTGCAAACCCAGCGTGGTTGTTCAAGGTTGAATTCGCCAGTGGCCCAGAGTCGGCCGATACGGAACGATCTGTGGATCGAAAAGCCGCCGACCGCACACGGTCGAAGGATCCACGCGGTGTCCGAAACCAGCGCTGGTGTTGTCACGACACGAACCTCTGCATGTGGATGTATAATCATTGCTCCTCTCAGTGGATTTGAGACGTGAGCTCGGGGAGCCACTTCTAGTCAGCCAGCCGCCCAGAGGATGGGCGAGACTCGGCCTTTGCATGTCTGGGCGAGGCGATCGCACCCCGCTCGTCTCATGGACCACGCCGCCCGTTGTTCTGTGCTATTTTGACTGACTGTCGGATGTCGGGCACCACCTCTTCCGAGTAGGAACGCGTATCGATGCCGCTGCCCTGGCGTCGGCTTCGCCTTTCTAGGCCTCGTGTGACGCGCTCGTCGCCACGGCTGGATTCGCCTCGGTTCTGGTCAGAACGGACCCCAGGAGAGGTCCGGGGAGTGGCGGTTCTGGTTGAAGCACGAGCGCAGTTCTTGATTGCTCGGGGCATGACAGGCGTCCTGGCCCCCCCCCCCCTACGTAATGTCGTAACGCTCCCCCACCCCCCTTTGCGCTCCGGGCACTGCGGCCGTGCGCATCGGGATCCGCATCGGTGTCCGCTTAGGAATCCGTATAGGAGTCCAGTCCGCAGTCGTCGTCCTCGTCCTCGTCCTCGTCCTCGTCGTGGTCGTCGCGGTCGTCGCGGTCGTCGTCGTCGTCGCCTTCGTCGCCTTCGTCGCCACCGTCGTCATGGTCGTCGTCGTCGTCGTTGTCGTCGTCGTCGTCGCTCGTCGCTCGTCGGTCATCGTCGTCGTGCGCGCGGACGCGGTTGGAGCCTGCTTCTTTTAGTCCGGGCCGATGACGGCAATCATCTTCGTGGGGGAGGACGCAGATGACGTCACGTTTCGCGCCCGCGGCGTCTGGGAATGCTTGGGAATGACCGAGGACGGGTATCAGCAGCATGTAGGTGGTCTGCACCACTGCGCCTGTGTACACCACAGTGCCTGCGTGCACCACAGCGCCACAGCGCCTGTGTACACGACGCCGCCTATGTACACCACTGCAGCCGCGTGCAACACAGCGCCATTGTTTCCTACGGTGCGTGCGGGCACCACAGCGCTTGTGTACACCACAGCGCCCGCGTACACCACATCAGCCGTGCGCAACACAGCACCACTATACACCACGGCGCTTGTGTGCACCACAGCAACCGTGTGCAACAAAACACCACTGTTACATTTTGCAGGAGGAATCCTTATGACAAAGTGGAGCTCCTGTGGATTGCATAGCCAACACTTGTTTTTTTATACAGGATTTGGAATGTAGTCCTTATGGATAAGATCGCCGCTGGAATCGACGGGTTCTCCAGAGTCCGCCTGCATCATCCTACCTCCTCCCATCTGCGCCCAGGAGGCCCAACAAAATTGGCCGTCCGAGGACCAAGTGGAATGATTAAATCGACCATTCTGCGGTGCACGTTGAGATGCGCACGTGCGCTGTAGTGCCGACCCGCACGACAGGGGGGAAGGGTGCGGGAGGAGGGGGAGGAGGAGGACGAGGAGGAAGTGGAGGCGAAGGTGGAGGAGGAGGGGGGAGGGATAGACAGCGCATTCCATTATCAGCACGTCCCTGGCGTGTCGTTTAGCTGGCCGCAGCAGATCCTCACGTACATGCTCGTTATACCTGTCCTGTGCACGCATGCGCTGTGGTGTACACCAGCGCTGCGTTGCACGCGGATGCTGTGGTGTAGACAGGCGCTGTGGTTTGCACAGGCGCTGCGGTGCACGCAAGCATTGCAGTGTAAACAGGCTCTGTGTTGCACATGGTTGCTGCGGTTTACACATTCGCTGTGGTGTGCACGGGCGCTGTGGTGCACGCAAACACTGGTGTACACAGGCGCTGTGTTGCACACGGCTGTTGCGGTTTACGCAGGCGCTGTGGTGTACACGCGTGTTGTGGTGCACGCGGGCAGTGTGGTGTACACAGGCGCGATGGGGCAGATCGCCACCTACATGCTGCTCGCGTCGTCGTCGTCGTCCGTCCTCGTCGTCCTCGTCGCTCTTCACTCGTCGCTCGTCGCTCGTCGCTCGTCGCTCATCGTCGTCGTGCGCGCGGTCGCGGCTGCGGTGCCGGAGCCGCACGGCGGGGGGGGCGTTACGTCATACCCCCCCCCTGCCTCCCCCCCCCAATCTCCCGTGACTCCCGTCATCGCCGAAAATAAGGAAACGCGCTCCATCGTCTAGTTTCTCCAGATCCGAGTCTGCACAGCTTGGAAACTGGTTGTCTAAAGTACCACGGGCCCCGCATGTCGAATTTCGGGCATTGGTTGCCAGATGTCGCATGCTGGGGACTATCTCTGGGTCCTGAGGTTATGTGTTGTCTGCGTTGTCACGTCAGGGATGGGGGCCAAGGACTTCCAGACGTACACCAAGATTCGTGGGTGCGACGGCTGGGGTCACATTGATCTCGACACGTGCAAGGCGTCTCTCGTTCACTCTCTTTCTTATCAGCGTCACATTGCCGACAATGTCATATATTATTCGGGCCGAACGAAAGGGGGGGATAGGGAAAGGGGGGGGGTACGAAATCTGCTGCATGCAGCTGGTTTCCGCCCCGCCGCCGGGCCCATTCCTCGATACATGGGCGCCTCCCGGCGCCGGGAGGCGCTGGGAAAATCAGCTACGTGAGCTGATTCTCCCCCCCCCCCTTTGCTATCCCCCTCCTTTCGCCCAGCCCGAATCATGTTTTCATCCAGAACTGATAAGCTATTGGAACGTTGTCCTAACCTCGCTGCCGCACTACACTTGCGTCTCTCTCCGCAGACATTCTCGCAGAGCGGTCAAGTGGTTGTTGGTGAGCGTGTGATAGCTCTGCTGTCTGCGGAAGCAACACGAAACCGCGCCAGCCCCGACCCCGAGTGCTGATCCCCCTTTCTTCCTGCGTGTCCCGCCATTTTTTGTATTGCTTTGGGCTTTCCTTTGCGGAAGTGCGGTCTGGCTCTCTGTAGAGGGGGCCATGAGCAACGATGAGGCTCAGGCGAAGTAAGTTTCAAAGCAGGCGTGCTGGAGATAGCCCTAACTTATTTACAGATCAGATCATGTTGATGCTCGAGCATTTGCCCCAAAACGTCATTGTTCTTAGGGGGTAATCATGTGTCTTGTGATTTGTTTATTCATTGTTCTGCCGATCGGCGCGGGCCCTCGCACCCCCTCTCCCCCCTGGAGTAGATCTTGACTGTTTTTGGCGCCTGTTTCGAGCAGGTGGAGCCTCCCCTATAATGGACGCACTGCTGCAAGCAGTCGCACTAAGCAGAGGTCGGGAGCCAGACCCCTCCCCTTTACCCCCTTCATCCCAATGTCGAATTAAAAAACGCTTAACCTTCCAAGGAACTGGACGGGGATGGGTTTGTCGAGGTTTTGCCACGTTGCCGCCCATGGCCGCCTCGTGGCCGCCTCGTGCGCTAGGTGGGTCCAGCGATGTTGCGCCACGTTGCCGCCCACGGCCTTCTCGTGGCCGCCTCTAGCTTGCACCACGTATGCTGCATCACACGGCTTACATCACACAGCGTACACGTCTACGGTGCAACGGATTATTGTTTGGGATTCACGCCGGTTAACCTCGTTGCTCTGCCACGCGGCGTGTGTGTGTGTGTGTGTGTTGCCATTCGGGCCACATAAGCCAGACCCTCCGCTTCGTCTCGCAAGCAAATATCGTTCTAGAGTCTGGGAGACGGTGGACTATCTGTGATGCGTTCATGAATTCATTCCGCTTGCCATGCACGTCCTTCGACACTTGTTGGCTCGAAATGTGGCCCATGAAATTAATGGTTTGTGGTGCGTCCTCAGGGCATGTCAGGGCGTTGTCACGCCTTGAGATGTCGAGCCCGACGTTTTTTGTTATCATCGCTGTCTGGCGCTCGCGATCAACGTTCTCAATCCAAGTGCAATCAAGTTCCTCAGGGCCCCGTTTTCCCTTGGTTTGCTGCGCCGCCCTCTGCCACCGCTGATCGAACGGTGCGTCGGATGGGTTATCGGCAAGAAGCCTGCGCATCTGACCTCGCAGCCTTGGAGAGCGGCGGCCGGCTCCAAGATGCACAGGCTGCCAGGACGATGCAGGTGCTGTGCCCCCAAAATTGTTGTGGAGCGCGGCGGTACACCACGCGTGCTGGCGGGATGGTGATATTTTTTAATTCATTGGTTTGCCGATCGGCGCGGGCCCTCGCCCTCGCCTTCCCCCCCCCATGGAGTAGATCTTTGCTGTTACCTGTTTCGAGCAGATGGAGTCTCCCCCATAGGACGCACGGTTCCAAACAGCCGCACTAAGCAGTGGTCTGGAGCCAGACCCCCCCCTCACACTTGCCTCCGCCCAATGTCGAAACGCCGAATAAGAAAACGTTCACATGTCCGCTCGAAGAATGGTGTCAGCATCGCGGCCAACGGGCAGAATGCTGACAGTCTCTCGGTGCTGACTCCGTCCTGCATTCTCTCTTATCCAAAGGAGCGCACAATGCCATAAACATGGAGGTCCGCGCGGATTTCTCGGATCGGCGCTGGACCCCCTCCCTGGCGCGCGGAGCGCGCCAGGGGCGGCGCCAGAGGCGCCGCCAGGGGGGCCCAGCGCCGAGCCGAGAAATCCGCGCGGACCTCCGAGTTTTCATGCTTATGTCATTGTGCGCTCCCCCTCGCATCCCGATGCTTGTGTTTCCATCCTGGCATCTCGGCGGGTCACCGCCCTGCACCGTCCCAGCAGCATCAGTCGGGGAATCTCGCTCCCCGCTTGTATGAGGCGTACTGCACTGAGAATCGGTGGCCTGCCAGATGTGTGAGCGACTGGCGGGGCGGGGCAGCGCAAGAGGGTTGCCGCTTTGTGGAGCCAGGAGTGCGCGAGTGCCTGCCTCCTCCACTCCTCCCTCCTGTCGTGCATCCCCCATTCCTCCAGCCTCCTTCCCCCTCGTCTCCCTCGCCCTCCCTGTTCCCTTCTCTTCTCTCGTCCCTCCTCCATCCGCCCTGCCTCCATCCTCCACTCCTCTCCGATGTTCCTCCGTCGTGCCTCCCACCACTCTATCCTCAGTCTGCTTCTCTCTCCTGCCTCTCTCTCTCTCTCTCCCTCCACCTCTGCTTCTCCCTCATGCTTCCCCTTCGCCCGTCATTCCTGCTCCCACTTCCTTGGCGTCTCCCTCCCCAGTTCTGCCTCCCCTCCTCGGTCCTGCGTCCCCTTACTCGTGCCTCCTCGCCTCCTCCCTCAATCCCTCTGCCCTCCTCTCTGCCCTCCTCCATTCCGTCCTCGTCCATCCTCTCGCCCCGCACCTTGAGAGTATGCGGAGGAGAAGGAGCACACCATGTTCTCGAGTTGTACTGCTCCATTGTGTGCTGCTCCCGAGCGTGGCGTTGGATACTTCGCACACTTGAGATACCGTCACGTTTCAGCCGCTTTTTGTAAACGTAGCCGATGGTCCGACAGCTCAGCCACAGGGAAGGGATTCAAGACATAGAGAGCAGGATCGGGAGTGCCAGTCGGATCAGCTATGTCCAAGTCCCTGTCCATATACTGACGTCGGGTAGGTTCAAACGAGCGAGCAAACGGCACAACTGAGAGCCAATGCAGCGGAAGCCAGGCACCGGTAAATCCCACATCATGCCAGAATGATGAATCCGTTGCCTTCTGTCAAATCATATGGAGAGATCCGCTTCAGTGTGTTACGGCGGTGCTGGAGCAACAATTGGGGTGGTGGCAGCTTAGCGCGGCCTACATCCCTTGCCCGTAATGGCGTCATAGTATGCACTGAGCTTGCGAGACATCATTTTGACGAGTATCTGTGGCGCAAATATGGGCGAGGGCACATGTGCAGAACCCCGCCCAAACACCATGTGTTTGTCCACTTCGCCGAGATTAAGTTCCCCGCCGTCGGGGACCCTCCTTTCGCCCTCCTCCGCCCCCTCGCCTCCTCATCATGCCCCATCCTATGGCCCCTCCTCCTCCTCCTCCTCCTCCTCCTTCGCCTCGCCTCCGCCTCCGCCTCCGCCTCCGCCTCCATCCTCTGCCCGCCGTTTTGGCTCAAACCATCTGCTCATCCTCAGGAAGCTGCCTCCTGACCAGTGGCTTGTGACCACGTGGTCCAGGATGCTGGTCCCCCATTCTGAGATGGGGATTGGGGACCACGCGATCAGTGATGAGGACTTGCGTGTCCTTCAATTTCGGATCAGGTCCTACAGGAGCATCGAGAATAGATGGTGATCAGGTGCGCTGGGAAGCACGACGCCAAGGTAACCTTATCCGGAGGTCTCTGCAGGCTCGATCAGAAGCGGACAAGATTCTGGACCCTCGGTTCTTTGACCTCGATTCTGAACGTTGCCGCCAGCAGCGCCGTCCAGAGGCGCTGGGTACAGTGGGGGCCCATGCCAAGAAACACCCTACTTGTCTCCAGGTTGCCCTGGGTTTCTTGGGCTTCCATGGTTTCGCCACGGAAAAAGCGTGACGCTCCCGCACCAAAAGCCAATGGACGTCCTGGGGTCTCTGGGATGGGTGTCTCGTGGAAGGTTCCTTGTGGCCGGGCCCCTACAGTCAACCCGGATAGGAAGGATGGGCAGCCTTACCAAGGGCACCCTTGCATCCTTGCCTCCTCGGTCCATCCTTGGCCGCTTTCGCTTGCCAATCTCGCTCGCAAAACGTCAACGTGACCCTCCACGGCCCTTGCATCCTTGCCGGGCACCCTTACTGTACGGGTCGACTGCACTGTAGTCCACAGGCCTCGCCTTCGCGGGCGGCAGCAGTCACCGCTGCCGTGCGAGGCGCTGAGGCCGCTTTTGTGCCCTCCGCCCCCCGCCTCTTCAGTCGGGGGCGCGGGTCCTGCACCTTCGAGGCGGGGTCCTATTGGAAAGGGGCCCGGAGGCCTCCTCCTCCTTTTCCTTTTCCTCCTCCTCCCCCTCCTCCTCCTCCTCCTCCTCCTCCTCCTCCTCCTCCTCCTCCTCCCCTGCCTCTTCCTCCTCCTCCTCCTCCTCTCCTCCTCCTCCTCCTCCTCCTCCTCCTCCTCCTCCTCCTGCCCCTTCCTCCTCCTCCTTCTCCTCCTCCCCCTGCCTCTTCCTCCTCCTCCTCCTCCTCCTCCTCTTTCTCTTCCTCCGTTGCCATTTTGGCTCAAGTGTGATTGGGGAGATCGCACCTGAGCGGGCAGCTCACTTCAGTGGGCAATTCGGGTGTCGAGCCCGAGCAGACCTTTCTCTCTCTCGCTTCTCTCCCAACAGTCCTCGCGCCATGGCGGGCTCTGCGGCCGAGGCGATGGAGCGCGGCATCAAAGAGCTGCTGCTAATTATGGACCCCATGAGCGCCAGCTTCACAGAGCAGTTGGGTGGCATCAACACTGCCATCGCGGAGATCCCTGCCATCAAAGCTCAGCTGGTCGATCAGGCGGCCAAGAATGCGACCATCGCCGAACGGCTGGACAAGCTCGAGGCCCAGGGCGTGGCGTCCATCGCCGAGGGCCAGTTTCTGGCGAAGCTCGAGCTCTTGGAGACACGTGTGGGCAGCCTCTCTACTGCGTCTACCTCGAGTGCAGGCAGTGTGCATTCCTTTGGGCACGCATCTAATGGTGCCAAGCGTGCTCGGTCCGAAGGACCTTCCCGATTCGGTCGACATGACGATGCAGTTGATGCCTCCTCTCGGGACCGGTGTAAGATCTGGGTCAGCGGCTTTGTCTCTCCGATGCTGGGATCGATGCTCGAGGAGCACGGCAAGCACTTGCCCGGCCTTTTGCCATCTCATCACACTGCTGGAGCCACTATTCGAGGGTACAACCTCAACAAGTCGTACAGCATCAAGTTCGCCAATGAGAAAGCGGCTGCTGCCTTTGTGGATCACTACCGCTCTGCAGGCATGCAGTACCAGGACCAGGCCACAAACTCCACTGTCAACCTGCGAGTGAGGTTCGACGCCCCAGCCGAGATCCGCGTTAAGAACAAGTACCTGGGCAGGCTCTGGCAGGCGATCACCGAGGCCATGAAGCGCGACGGGAAGTGGAAGACGGACTACTCCATCGGTTCCAACGGCTTCAAGGGCATCCTGTACATGAAAGTTGGCGAGTGCTTGTTCGTGCTGTTCGAGCTCATCTCCACGGACCGCAACCAGTTCGAGTGCAAGGCCTTCCCCGACAATCTCTCCAAGTTCGGCATTGACTCGGATGCCGCGACGGCCATGATCGCTACGTCGATGGAATAGGACGTTCCCCTGTCCGAACCGAGGACTGCAGAGTCCCCCGAAGTCAACGGTAACCCACTGAGCAGCGACGATGAGGACGGAATGATCATCGAGAGCTCCTCTGATTGTGGTTCCTCATCCTCTTCCTCCTGCCCGTCCAGCCCGTCCTCTGCCAGCCGTGCCTGTTCTTTTCCTGACCAGCCCTTCAATTTCATGCAGTACTTCTCTGCCGTTACGTGGAATGTGCAGACTCTCTCCGGATCCGCCTCGTCGCCGATTCAGCCGATCGTCAACGTGATGTCGAATTTTCGCCGCCTCACCTCGAAACGCGCCATTATCGCTCTTCAGGAAACACACGGGCCCCAGCAGGACCTCATGTATCTGAAAAAGGAGATCGAGGGTCTGCACGCGTACGGCACTTTCTTCTCTTGTGGCATCAAAGGTGGTTGCGTTATTATTCTCCATCCTCGCTTTGCTTCGTTCTTCTCTCATTTTCAGCATCGCGTTCTTCGGAGGGGCCGAGTTCACGAACTCTTGCTGCCAGGGTGGCATGGCACTGTGCAGATCATCAATGTGCATCTCGACCCCAGCCCTCCCATCTCCGCTCGTCAACGCACACTTCGTTTCATCAAGTCGAGGGCCCTATCATCTTCTGTTGGGACCTCTTTCGTCTTGGGCGACTTCAATTTCTGTGCTCTTGGGGAGGGGAGGACGCATATTGGTGGGGAGAATACTTATCACAATCATGGGCTCGCAAAATATTTCGCTCGCCTTTTCCCTGGCCTCGCCGAAGTATCTCAGCCTGCATGCGTGCATAGGCGCACGCAGATCCATGACAACGTTCGGTCTATCCAGTCCGTGGCACGCCTTGATAGGATCTACGCCAACATGTATAGTGCGTCCCTGATTGACCTACAGGCCAACTCGCTCACGCTCGCCGCGGTGTGCGACTTGGAGTGGCCCTCCGACCATGTTCCTGTCTGTCTCTCGCTCTCTCCCTTCCAGGGCTCGGGAGCTCCGCGGATTGCATCCTGGGTTTGTCGACATCCTGTGTTCCCTCGGGCGATTCAACAAGTTCTGGATGTGGTTCCTCCTCTCTCTCCCGATCCCGCTCTTGCTGTTCGTGAATTTAAAGATGTTATCCGCGCCGCTGCCAAGCTTGCCCGAGAAGAGCTCGAGCAGAGAGAGGCGGACTCGTTGCCAGAGACTCTCGTGGACGCTCGCTGCTCATCGTGCGATGCAAGCAAGGGCACCATCTCGAATTCGGAGAGCGATGCGTGCATACCCTTACTTGTCTCGCTTCATTGATGCCTCCGACCTCGTCTGGAAGGACATGTCTGGCTTCTATTTCTGGCTGGACCAGCTCGCAGCTAGCAATGTCAAGGCTAAGATTGCGGAGGTCGACGCAGACCCGCACATGCACCCGAATGCCAAGTCCTCTTCCAAGCAACGTCTCCACGAATATCTTTCGGCCTGGTCTGGAGCTAATCGACGTATTTCCCTCGCCGGTGTCGCTGGTCCTTCGGGCGAACATATTTCGGATCCGAAAACCGCTGCTGACCGTCTAGCGGAGCACTGGGGCAATGCGCACGGCTTGGAAGAGGGCTCTTCGGATGCACGTGAGCAGTTAAGGCCTTATGTTGTT